AAATCATCCTAAGCAGAATCTTGCTCTTTGAAAAAACTTTAATTGATAAATCCTTAAAATCTTTGGGGGGTTGAATATTTCTGATTGCAAGTGTATTTAGTGTTTTAAATATATATAAATAATATATATATTATTTATAAAAATATTTATAAAAAATAAAACATTAAGGAAAGTTTATAATGTAAATAGATTAAAAAGTTTCAGTACATCATACACCAAACAGGTTCTCAAAAAGCAAAAACATTACCATGAGATTGGGTTATTGCGGTGATGCCAGATATAAATTAAACAAAACTCTCACCTTGTTGTGTGAGCCCTGTGTTATGGTTGAAGCTCTGAACTGGGAAGGGCTGACTGCATTGCAAGCTACCCTGTCTTCCAGCAGGAACCCCAGAAAGAAAACCAGTGACACCATCACATAACACACAGCGTAGAAGATTATTGGCCGCTCAGGGTATCGAAACCTGAAAAAAAAAAAAGAAAGAAAAAAGATTAAATAACAATGAACACATTTTCTTCCCGCTTATTCTGTTTTGAAAGTGATCATACTCGTTGATAGATGTTATACAACATTTAGCTGTTCGAACCTGGTAACATCAATGAGAAACGTCAGGAAGGTGAAGAGTGTCGCGGACAGGCAGACAATGGACACAACTCCTATGAAGTAGCGGATGAAGGTCAGCTCCTGGTGGTTGAAGTACATTGAGGGGCATGGGGCAGAACAGTCCTTCCGGCCCATGAATGTGTAACCCAGGTCTGGGTCCACCTTGAGCTCTCTGGGGCACCAGAAACCGTAGTCTCTCTGGACAGTCATGGATGACTGGTCAGTGGGGTCTGAGCCTGTCAGCAGGTCTTCTGGACGAGGATATGGCTCGTCACAATCTGGAAACCTAGGAAAAGAAATACAAAGTCAGATCATTTTAATATATTATAGACATATTGTACATAGACCATGAAGATGACTATGAAGAAGATAACTGAACTAAGAGATAAAAAAAGGGAGATAGAAAAGATAGGAAGGGAGTTCTATGGCAACGAGTTGACAGTCAAAGAAAGAACAGTGGCAAGATGCTGCCGTTGAGAGTTTGCAGGTTGGCTTCAAAAAGTTGTGTTTTGAGGTATGTGCAAAACACATATTGCAGGCTCAGTCCTGGCTAAATATTCACTATACCTTCAAAATAAAACAACCAGAATAATATTACCGGCTGTATTATCTCAGAAGATTCACATCTCTGTTTGTGATGACACCGTTCATATTTTCAACTTAAAATGTAACACACATACACACCTGCTACAGTCCATGTCATCTGGCCAGGGTACGCCAAATATCTCCATGAGTTTGTGGCACTCCTCCTTGGCCCGCTGGCAGAGGGATCGACATGGCATGGACACCTGGCCGTACACAGTGCACACCGGAGCGTACAGGGCGCACAGGAACATCCTCAGGTCAGTGCTGCACACCAGGTTTACCATGGGATGAAAAGGCTGCAGACGAGACAGAAGAGGAGAAAGGCAAAGATAGTTTTTAAATTTATGCTGGAACCTGCTGGAAGTTTGAACTGAAAGCATTGGCTAGTGTAATAACATGTGCATCATAGTCATACAAGGGTCTCAAAACTCTATGGCAAACATCCACACAAGTTGTCAATCTTATATCACAATATCAGTGGGGAACCAGCTTGACAAGGTTGTTATTAAATCTGTTATGCATGTTGGAAAGAGTGTACATGATGTTAACACACAAACACACACATACACAAGCACATGCACACACACACGCTCAGAAAAAGTTAACTGCTATGAGTGGCACATATCAGAAGGCTCATATTTAACCTGAAATAGCCATCAAAGAGAATGTGAGGGAGTGCAAGAAGGACAAATACGTTCTCATCGCCTGCAACTTAAACTACTCAGTATTCCATCAATATATAGAAGCTCATGAAATATGTATAGGAGCAATCATATTACCAAACATCTCTTTGAAGTAAGGGACAGCAAAGACAGACCTCTGAAGGTTGAGCCAATACACTGAACAAACAGCATGGCTGTCCACGGACCGAAGATTATAGATTCTGTTCGCTGCAGCGGTAGTCTAAAGGTTAGAGTCAGACATGTGACTTTCAGGCTGCTGTTTCAAATCCCCAGAATGATTGGGAAAATGTGAGTGATGGAAAGGACAAGAAGCAGCCTTAGCACTTCCTTAAACAATTACTATTGACATACCCCTGGACATAGACTCCAACAGGGGATTCTGTGTGAGCTCATTTATTTTGTTATTCCATATTAAAACTCAAGGTTAGCTGGTGGCTACTTCTGCTCATGCTGACATGTAATTATTCATCAATTAGTTCCAAAACACCTGCTGTCAATGAGGACATTAGTAGTGGGCATATACATTACGACATTTTATAATATGTACTCAGGTTTGTGAAAGTGTACGCAGATTTAAAACTGTGTGAGTAGCTTACAGTTGTCACAGCCTTGTTTGTGAGCTTCATATAAAAAGAGCACTACTACGTTTTAATGAGGATAATACCAATAGACAGAGACTTAATTGGTTGGTGCTTTGAAATAATTATAAAAGTACTTTAATAAAGTCTTAGTTTCAATTAAGAGTATTGTGAGTGTGCGAATTCCACATATTTTAGTTTGAGTAATATTGTGTACACTGCACGCTGTTACAGTTAAGTGTGCAAAGTGACCTGCATCTATTCAGCTATTTAAAAGTTAATATCATCTGGCTGCACTAAAGCGGAGTTTTCAATGAAGCTTTTACGAGATATAACAGAGAAATCGGAGCAGAACCATGACGGCAATGAATGGAGATGAGAGCAATGAAACAAAACACTTTGCTTGATTGCACACAATAATCAATCACACAACATTGCACAATGTGTGTGCTTTTGTGTATATATAAAATGTGTGTATATGTGACACAAAACAGTGCACTTACATTGATTGCTTGCAACAATAGCTACAGTATACGCCTATAGACTGTATGAGTGCATTCATGCAAATACCCATGCATGACAGCGTGTGTGTGTGTGTGTGTGTGTCTTATGCATGTTTCTGTGTAGAGTCAGGCCTTGCGAGTATGTTTTGATCGCTCTCAATTGCTGTGTTCTAGATCTGCACATTGGAGAGATGTTCCACCAGTAAATGGATGCAGCAGTGCATGAGCTGTGTGACATACTTTTGAGTATTGCACAGAAACTGCTGCAAGTATACACACACTACCAACCACCAATTACACCACACACACACCCACACCACACCACACACCACCACAACACACCACACACACCCACCAACACCCACACACGAACACACACAACACCACCACAAACACACACACACACACCAACACACCCGCGCACCACACACAAAACACACACACACACGCCCCACAACAAACACAACGACCACGCACACAGCACACCACACCGCCACACCCCACCACACACACACCACCACAAACAACAACACACACAACAACATATCCAACACAGTCTTTTTCACCCACCCACTTGCGCTTGCACCTGCTGTACCGCGACAGAGACCGTCACGGCGCGAACCACGTGCAGCCCTCCCATGCTCCTGGACCTCAAGCTTCATAAGAGTTGAATAAATAGGGCCTAACTCATCAGCTGTGTCAGGCAAAATAGTGAATGAATTGAACTCTTTGCCTAGTACGGTTCCATCAAAACTCGATCTACACCTCCATCGTTTCCATTTTCAGTGAAACCACCTCTCCTCCCTTTTTGAAAACCAGGAGACGTTACGTTACTCGCTTCATTCTGCCCGCTGTACACTCCATTTCTTCTTCCAACACTCGGGCACTCATCTCTTTCGTCTTTAGTTAGAGGACGCAAGATCACGCATGCATTACTTCGCCGCTCAGCAGCAATCAACGCTGATCACAACCCACTTCCTGAATAATTACATTACACACATGTTTGCCCTGGCGTAACCCTAACACCTGACGACGCTCACAGAAAAGAAACTTGCTCGACAACCTCATCACACGTGGACACAGATGGCTGATGCACAGTGCTGCTGCCTGCTTCCTTAAGAACTACTTCACCCTGGCACACTCGCCTATACAGCTAGCACCAACCCTTGCGTAAACAGTCAACTGATGGCCCCTGTTACTATGACTGCGATCCATTAACTACCACATTCAAAATCTTTTCGACAACACAAACATCCTTGCAGCCCCCCCACAAGCGGCCCTCTTTGGGTCAACCCAAAAACGTTTAAAAACACACCAACCCAAAATTTCCAAATCAAAAATTCATCCTTTGCCCATCGCAAAAAAAACACAGCGCACAATACCCCCACACCATTTTTTCTTCGTCAAAGGGATCTTCTTCTTAAAAAAAACAAACATTACGAACAAAACAAGCTTTTCCACTAAAAAAATCGCCAAAGACTTTTTTTATTTAGTCAAAAAATCGTTTTCTTGTTTTTTTTTTTTTGTTTTAAATTTAAAAATACGCCCTCACAAAAAGCTGAAACGCAAAACCCATTTACTTCTTCTGCTTTGGAAAAAACAAAAACTCAAGTTCAACAGAAACAACACACCCTTTCTCCTTTTTACCAGCTTTTTACACACCTTACAACCTAAACTCTCACGATTTTCGAAAACATTTTTTTCTTTCTCTCTTCTCTCTCTTTGCAACTCAAGCGCCCCAAGGGCCTGTCTTCAAGCGCGTTCTTCCCCCTTTAAAACCAATTTTCACTGTCGTTTCGCGCCCCCAACTGCGGGACAAACACTAAACACTGACGGTTACAAAAACACAACCAATGGCTCTTCTTATCTCCCTTCT